TTGTTGTGAAATAAAATATATTTGTGTGCTTAATTCTTATTTTTATGTATTGGTGAAACTTATTTGCTCTTCAACGGAGTCTGTGTGGAGCTGAAGAGGACAGGCATTTTCTGTCATCAGTTCCTTTGTTTAAACTCAGCAGAAAACTGAGCACGATAGGGGGAGGTGAACAGAACTTTCTTGTTGATGTTACAGAGGTCTCACTCTCTGATTGGTTTAGAAAGCTGCGTTGCTATGGATACGAGGTTTTACGGCCGGCCAGGACTAATGGATACATTCCAGACGATAAGTTAATAGGACAGATTGAACTTTCTTTGTTCTGATTATCTGAAACTGTTCAATGGGATGCTGCAGTCAAGAGTTATTTAGTGAGTTTTATTGTCTGCATTAAACATGGTTTAACACTCTTGTGAAGTTTGCTTCAGTTTTCATATATATAAAGTAAGTATCTAGGATGAACATTTTTAATTAGATAAAAGTTGTGATTATATAGTTGAAGAAAGACATGCACACTTAATAAAAACGACATTGATATGTTTCATAGGAAAATATGAAACTCCAACAACACTTAGAAGAAAAACTGTGAAAGTTAGACAAAGGAACATTTTGGGGGAGGTTGTAAGTTCTGTGTTGCTCCAAACGGGGCAGCCCCCAAGACAGGTTATAAAAGCATGAAGCATCTCCCCCCTCGGCAGAAAAACAGAACCGCCCAGAGCAGATCAGAACCATGCAGCACGAGCTGCACAACTGTGCAGGTCGTATTGGTCAGAATGAATGCGAATTCATTTAATCCATCTACTTCATCACTTTTATTTTATTTTTGCAATAATTACTAACCAAAATTGTATTCCTAAAAATGTATCTTGTGACTATTATCTATTAAATATACGTGTGAACTTGAAATAGCGACTCTGTCCTATTTTTAGTGTAACTTAGTTTTTCCTTCCTTGGTCCTGTACAACAAGCCATAACAACGAACTCGGGCGGAGCGAAGACGCAAATCAACA